CTCTATCCTAATTTCAAACTCTGGGTGAACAAACAAGTCAATGCAGTTTTTTACAGTGTCGCTTCCAGGAGGCTGGGAGGGCTGGGGGGTGATGTCTGTGGATGTTAAAGGCACTCGTGTAGCCAAGCAGCACGGGCACATGCTGTCGCTGCCTCTGCAGTGCCATCTGGCCAGCAGCGACGCAGCTAGAACCAGGGCTGTGCGCAGGAGAACATTTTACAACAGAAAGCAATTAACAGAATAAAGCCCTTTTTAAAATCCAGTAATTAAAAGCAGTCCCTCCCCCTTGTTTTCCTTTTAAGCTGAAAGTTGCTGTTTACTCATTTGCTTTACAAAGTGTGCCTTGTTGTGGCTTCAGAAGAAATGAAAGTTTGAAGTGGTTAGAGAAGAAAGGCTTTGGGGCTGCTGCGTTCCAGGCAGGGCGGAGGGGCAGGGGCTCTCCAGCCCGGCTTGTTTGTATTTGTTCTTGTCTACTCACAGGATCGCTAAACACACATTTAACAAGTGCTGAAGCTGTCTACCAGCCTGATCTCTCCCAGGGCTCATGAGAAGAGGCCTGGCACATTAGCATTGCTGGGGGAAGGGGAGGGGGAGGACAGCCTTTTAAAGGCTTGGTGTTTTGGGGCTGAGGAGGGAAGGGCTCCTTGCAGGCCAAGTCCCAAACAAAGGCATTGTGTTCCCCGGAGCCCTGGGGACCGGCCCCGGGGCAAGGCCAGGACCTTGCCTCGCCAGCCGAGGGTTTTCCCATCCCAGCTCCTCGGTTCCAAGCAGGGGTGCAGCCCTAAGGGCAGCCAAGGCTTTCCGGTGGTCAGAGGTGGGAGCTGGCACTTCCAGGGCTGGCCCCTCCATCCCTGAGAGCGAGAGCCACCAAACCCAGGGCTGTAGTGGTCATGGGGACCATCCTGTGCCACAGCAGCTCACCTTGTCCCTACCAACCTCACCTTGACCCCACAACCCTCACCTAGTCCCCACCACCCTCACCTCGTCCCCACCACCCTCACATCATCCCCACCACCCTCACCTTGTCCCCACCACCCTCACCTCGTCCCCACCACCCTCACCTCATCCCCACCACTCTCACCTCGTCCTCACCACCCTCACCTTGTCCCCACCACCCTCACATCATCCCCACCACCCTCACCTTGTCCCCACCACCCTCTCTGGGTACAAAATACCAGAGAGGAGCAGCCCAGTGCCCAGTGGCAACGAGCCTTCAGTCCTCTCTGTGTGGCCACAGGGGAGCCCTGATCTCAGGGGGCTCCTGGGCACGCAGTGACCCCGTCTGTGGGCAGGTTTGCTGCAATTTCAATTATCACTCGTTGTGGCTTCTCTGCAAAGCAGGCGCCCAGTGCAGCTGCATCATTATGGGTGGGGAAACTGAGGCACGTCAAGGGCCCAACCCGCCGGTGGTGTCCCACAGCGGGATGTTCTGCTGATTCCAGAGCAGGATGGTGATCCTGTCCCTGGCCGTCCCTCAGCCCCACTGACCTGGTGACACAGAGTGGCACAGACCCAAGGGGACAGCAGCAGCTGTGTCCCGGCCGTGAGCTCAGCAGGTGGAGCCTCGTGGAGCCCCATCCCAGGGGATTGCAGGGCTGAGCCACATTCCCAGACCTGCCACGGGGCAATAGGCGTGAGGACACAGACAGCCCTGCCTGGGTGCTGAGGGCAGCGCCGAATTCCAGCTCCAGGATCTGCCCTGTCCCTGCCTGGGGAAGGGTGAGGCCACGGCTTTGTGGGAAAATGTTGTTTTTCCCTCCCCTGGACTGCCCGTAGCAGTCGGCTGGGCGGGCTCTGGATTGCGTGGGCCGGGGAAGTGGGGGGGAGTTTGCAATTGTGGTGCCTCTGGCTTGGAGCAGAGCCACGGCAAACAATCCTCTCCTGGCCCTGCTCCAGATCTGACAGAGCACCGAGGTGATGCCGTAGTCATCCCTCCACGCCTTCATCCCAAATCGCCTCCTGAAAGCCCTGCCTGGTGAATCTGCTCAGCCACAGAGCGAGGCAGCCTGTCCACAGCCAGGAATCCTGTCCAGCATCCCTGTGAGGCCTCTGCTTTGGGAATTACAGCTGTGGCTCTGGCAGTGGGTGGGACCTGAGGTGAGGAGGTGATGTTGACTGAAGATGTGAGGACAGGGCATCCCAGGCACGCACGGGGTTAAACCAGAGGTGTCAGTTCACGGGGAGGTAACAGATAAGTGCTGCTCCTCGGCTGCCTCTGGCTTTCCAGAAGCCTTGCCCTCCCTCCCACATTCCAGCTGCTGCAGCTTTTCACAGCTGGCCGCTCTCCTGGGACATTTCCCAGAGCTGGGAAGGAGGGAGGGGAGGGAGCAGCAGCTCGGTCCCGGCGTGGGAGGCGGGTTGGTGGCTGGGCTGGCACCCCAGGGACACTCAGTCTGGAGCCCTTCACCCTCAGGACGAGCCTGGCACAGGCAAACCTCGGCAACCCCAGGTCCCTGGCAGGGATCCACCCTCAGTCCTGGCCCGGAGAGTTTTTCCTGCTGCAGGGAAGGGACATCAATCTTTGCAGCTCACTTATTCCTTGGCCTCTGAAGCAGGGTAGCCAATTAGTGCTGGGTGTGATGGATGGCTTAGCCCCATCCTCGTGACACCCATCCTCTGGAAACAGTTCCCACCATGGAGAGGCACAGCCAGCCGGAGCAGGGGACAGCTCCCCCCGGCTCCCGAGTCCCCGAGGGTCTCACAGGGCTCCCAGGGACGGGGACAGGCACTGCAGCAATGCTTGCTGTGATTCCAGAGGGGAAACAGCCCCGAGCACGGGGCCAGCACTGGTAATTCAGGGCTTGGGGAGAGATTTCCTCTGATAATTCCCTGGCTTGGCTGTGGCAAAGCCTGGAGCTCTCCAGGGAAGAGCAAATCAGCTCTGGGCAGAGGTTGGTCACCCACCGCTTGTGGCTCTGCTCTCGGGGTCACGGTACCGTGGGAACTGGCTGCAAAGATGCCCAGGGAGAGGCCAGGAGGGGCAGAACCCCCATTTGTGCACCCCAGCTCCCCTTGCCCGCAGCGGGGGAGGTCTGGCTGCTGCCTCCCGTGGGACACGGGTGACACTCCTAAAATCCAGCACGCCTCACGCAGCTAAACTCGTTTAATCCTTCCCTGTCGTCTCCACGGAACCGGCCCGTGAGGGGTCTCTGCTGGGTCTGGGGTGGCTCAGATGTCCCTCACAATCCCCCCTGGGATCCCTGGGGTCGATTAGAAGCGACTCTCCAGGAGGACAGGCTGGAGAACAGATCCGATTACAGGAGAAGTGGGTTTTGGGGCCCCCGCTCTGTTCATAATGAAGTGTAATCCTAGAAAAACATGTTGCCAATTACACTTCAATTGAACCCAGATAATGATGCTTAGGCAGGGCCCAGAAAAGATGGAGTCTGGACGAGAATTCCTCTCTAATGGAGAAGAAAAGTGTTCCTCTGTGGCAGGTCTGGGTTCGGCTTGGTTAAGGCTCGCTGTGATATGAGCAAGAGTCTGAAACAACCAATCTCAGGATCCCATTTAAATGGTTTTATCAGTGGAAAGAGTATTAATCTCTCAAAAACACATGTTTATGGGAAGTTTGGTTTGGGGATGTATGTGTTTCTAACTGAAATCATTTTGGAAAGGGAGGAGGAGCGGGTCTGAAACCTGCTAAAATAACACTTTCCTAATTCTTCTGGTTCAAAGTTACTTTTCACTTGGAAATGTAAGCTAATAACAGCTCGGCTTCTTGACCACTTCTCATAGTGAAAACAAACCACCAGAATTAGAGTTAACAAAGTGCTGTGACCTAAAGCACAGGTTTCACTCCCTTTTTTTCAGTTTACAAACACTGCCGAGGCGTCAGTTTTCCACTCCAGCCCAGGAGGGCTGGTTCAGGTCCCTGCTGCTTCCCTTCAGAAGGGAGGACAGTGTGGTTCGGTCCCAAAAACTGCTCGTGGGGGGTCCCTGCTTTGCTCAGCTGGGGCGGGCGTGGGCGAAGGGCAGGCAGGAGCTGGGATTTGGCTTTTCCGGAGCTGCTGGCGAGGTGCTGGGGAATTGCAGACACCTCTCAGCAGCGTGGGTGAGCTGGCAGAGATGGCTGAGGGAGATAGGGAGAACCCCAGGAGGCCAAGGGAGACGGGTGGCTTGGCTGGACGGGGCTCTTATCGCCACCACGGTCTCCGCAGAAGGGCTTTGGGAAACCCACGTGTTGCCAGATCTCAGCGCTGATTATTTTCTTCCAACTAAAAAGGCATTATTTTCATACTGGGAACCTCCACTTCAGCGCTCTCCCTCCTCCCCTCTCTCTGTCTCTCTCCCACACACACACGTTTTTGCTGCCTTGGGGGATTTTAGCAGCGCAGGGCTCTGAAAAACAGATTCCTGCCTCCTTCCTGCAGGAGCGGGGAAAGGGAGATGCTCGCTCGATGCTGGGCTGTGGCTTAAAGTTTCCAGCTTTGCGGAAAGAGCCCAGAAAACAGCGACGACAAAGCCCAAAGCTGGGCTTGGGCCGCCCTGTCTCACGGGGTAGGTGTCATCGCCCTGGCGAGCTGGCACTTGAAGGGGCTCCAAGGCTGTGGGAGCGTGGCAGGAGGCCGAGCTCCCGGCGGGACCACCGGCTGCGGTGCCAGGCGTGGCTGGAGCGCGGTGCCACCGCTGCCACCCCGGCCCTGGTGCTGCTCCGTGCCAGCCCTTTGAGAGCCCTTCGAGCGGCGTCCCGCAGCAGCCGCAGCCCCGAGCGAGCCGCTCTCCATCGGAACCGCCGAGTGCCGGGCAGACATGTGTGTGCGTGTGGGGCTGGATGTTGATTTTTCCCTGAAACAACTCGAGGCTTTATCAGGCCCATCTCTTTCCCACGGTTTTCTGTTGCCAGTGAGGTCACTGGTCCCTTTAAACTGGGGCTGAGGCCAATGTGCGGCGGGTGGAAGGGGGGCCGCGGGCAGGAGTGGGGGGGGACATGAGACGGTTCACACAGACTGTTCCTTTTACAGGAAGACTTGGGATTTGGACCAGCGAGCGGGAGGAGGCGGCGGGGCGAGCAGGGGGGGGCCCTGGGAACCGGGGAGCGCCGGCGCGGCCGCGTAATCCGTCACTCCCGGGAGATGGTGGCTCATTAACCCATTACCCGGGAGGTGGGGACGTGCCGGGAGGGAGCCGGGGAAGGAGAGCCGGGGGTGGGAGAGGCACAGCGGGCAGGGGAGGAGCCGTGCGGGGCCGGAGCGGCGGAGCCCGGGCAGGGACAGAGCGCTGCCCCGAGCGCGGCGGGCAAGGAGGCTGCGGCCACCGGGGCCACGCGTGGGGCAACCTCGCCGAGCCCGCCGGCCTCTCCCCTCGCCAGGATGAAGCGGCTTTGCGAGGAGAGCTCGTCCGACACCGAGTCTGACGGCACCATCGACGTGGGCCGGGAGGAGGAGTACAGGTGAGGGCAGGCTCCGTCCCACGCGGGGTTTTGGGGTCTCGGCACCGCTCCCCGCGAGCTGCTCGGGGCGGCAGCGCTCGGTGCCTGCAGGGGCACGGTACCGGGAGGGCACCGGGTCTGCCACGGCTGTACCGGGGCACGGCACCGGGTATGCCACGGCTACACCGGGGCACGGCACCGGGTATGCCACGGCTACACCGGGGCACGGCACCGGGTATGCCACGGCTACACGGGGGCACGGCACCGGGTCTGCCACGGTTGCACCGGGACACGGCACCGGGTCTGCCACGGCTGCACCGGGGCACGGCACCGGGTCTGCCACGGCTGCACCGAGACACGGCACGGGAGGGCACCGGGTATGCCAAGCCGCACCGGGAGTCCCTCGCACCTCGCTTAACCCCTCGGGGTCGGGCTGCTCCTGCGGGGACCAGCAGGATGACCCCAGAGTGCTGGGCAGGGCTGACCCCCAAGGAAACCGAAGTGGCCATACAAGTGTTAAAGCTGCGTTAGGAGCTTCAGGAGAATCCCATCCAAGCCCTCTGGCCGATGGCCTTCTCCTGCCAGGTGGCAGAAGGGCAGCGGGAGCCCGTTCTCTGCACCCCCAGATGGGGCAGCCCCCCAGAGCAGAGACACCCACACCCCTGCGCTCCCGGCAGTCCGAGGGCTCGCAGGGAATGTGGAAGAAACGAGAGGTTTTGCGTGAGAAAAACGCTTCTGCTGTGCTGATGCATTCGTCAGGCAGCAGCTGGGGCTGTGATGTGTTAGGGAGGCAGCCCGAGCAGGGAGGGAAGCGCTGCCCCGCTGCCCCTCAGCAGGGCAGGCTCCGTCCCATCGCTGCTGAGCTGCACTTTGGGCTTTGGAGTTTTTGCAGTTTGGGAGGGAATGGTGAGGACAGGAGCCGTGTGTGGTTCCCCAGGCGATGCCCTCAGGCTCCCCTGGCACCGGGCATCCCCGGCTGGGTCAGACCTCCCAGGCTCCGAGGGTGCAGACGGCACAGGGGATGAAGGAAAGGCTCTGTTATTTGTTCCCATCCAAAAATCAGCTGCTTTTGAACTCTTGTTTCAGTAGCCAAGCGTTTCCCCTCCCTCCACGTCCAGCAAGGCCTTGGATTAATTCATTCCTTCTTGCTCTTTGGTATCCTGAGTGGAGGAACTGCCTGGCTGGTGCCAAGCTCTGCTTCTCATGGGACTAAATTCATGAATCTGCTTCTGAGACATTTGCAGCAGAGTCGGGCACGTCTTTACACAAAATGTCCTGCAGAAATTCCCTGAGCCCTTATGCATTTCCAAGTGCATCAATATTTAAGTTGCTTTCCTGCTGCAGCTGAAATGTATCCCACCTCTTCACATCAGTGCAGCACGGAGCCCATAGGACCCCGAGGGATAAAATACTGGAATTGTCACAATATTTTATCTCGGTGACCAGTAAGGATGAACTTTTAATCTCCCTCTGGTGCTGCTAATGTGTTTGTCTTCTCGAGCCAGTGGTGGAACCAGGCTGGCTGAGATCTGGTGATATTTGTATAGGTGGATGTTGTTCCTCAAGTCACGCAAATCTAAAGAGCTGTTCCTGCTGAGGTCACACCCCAAGTCATGCCATCCTGCATAGGATGCTGGTGCACCCAGAAAAATCAAACATTTCCAGGTGGGAAGTGAGGAGGAGTGATTAGAGCAGAGAGAGGCTGCCCGGCCGGGGTTCCCAGCCCATTACCCATCGGGTGAGTGGTTTGGGCAAACCAGTTTCCCTGTAGTGAGGGGATGAGTCACGCCGGGTGTGAGGCTTGGAGCAGTTTGTGGAGCAAGTTTAGGCTCCGGGGTCACTGCAGAAGTGCAAGACCTGCCCAGTTCACAGCCAAAGTTGTGCTGTGGATGATAAAACCAAGCAAAGAAGAATTTTAATCACCAGAGAATATACTCACACCATCCTTTATGTGGTTCAAATCCACCAGATGTATTTCAAAAATACATTCTGCAGTGAGATGGGTGTTGATATCCCATCTGGACCTGAAGCTCACCAAGAGCAACGCATCCAGACAGCTCTACAAAGAGAGTTTCAAAAATCCCTATTCCTATTGGGGTGCCTATTTTGCATTTCCAGGTGAATTTAGCACCTACCCCCTGCACCTAAAACACTCCGGTGTTCATACAAAGCCTGTTTTCACACCAAAATTGCTCATTCTGTGCGTGTCTGTGTAGCTGGCGACGCATGTTAGCACTTGTGGTGCCAGCCAGCACCTCTGCCCAGAGAGAGCCCACCCAGCAGACATTCAAATAGGGGAGCTGCACAGAGATGAGCAGAGCAGGCAGCAGAAGAACTTGTTATTGTGTAAAACCACTTCTGAAAGCACCTCGCTTGGGCCTATTTTTAATAGGCTCGCTGCAGACAGCAGCGTCTGTGCAGGAAAATCCTTCATAGACTCTTATTCAAATGCTTTGTCAAACTGAAAAACATTTGGATTGGGGTGAACCCCAGTGCCCCTTTTCCAGATTTGGGTGGCTGACAGCAGCTCTGGTCCCTGGCTGGGATTGAGGGCGTGTTCCCATCCCTGCTCCGAGTTTCGTAAGGCACAGGAGCAGCCCTGAGCCAGCTGCCCTCTGCAGAGGGACAAACCCTGCTCGGGGCAGGTGGGAGGTGGCCCAGCCAGCCTCATCCCCCTCCTCGGCCACAGGGTCTTGCTGCAGGGAGTTTCCCATGCCTGCTTATCCGTGGTTATGGAGATTTCACCTCCGTGAGGACCTACGGGCTGAACTTTGCCTCCCTCTGCGTGTCTAGTGCTGACCTTTGGTGCTTTTAGCCAGGCAGGCACAGGCTGGTTTGTGGGGCCCTGTTGCTTAGACTGTCCCCATGATGCCCCTCATCCCCTGGGCAGAGCTGTGAGCCAGCAGCAAGGTCCCTGCCCTGTCACCTCCTGCCAGGTGTCCTCCCTGCCCAGCTCCTGGCCCCTGTCTGGATGGTTCAGGGGTGTCTGTGAGTTCAGAACATCCCAGCCCACCCCAAAAATGGTGGTTTGGGAAGCGACTGTCTGGGAAGCCCTCAGAAACCACATCGGTGCCACCACTGGCCTCACCCTGAGGAGCAGGCAGCCCTCCCTGGGTGGGAGCTGGGATCCCAGAGCTCACATCCCTCCTGCTATCGCGGCTCCGAGATGCAAAGCCCTGCAGACAGGGCAGGCTCAGACACGAGAGACGGGAGGTTCACACATGGAGGAAGGAAGGCCACGACTCCAGAGCTCAGATCGCTGCTTTTCCAGCTCTGTGGAGATGCCATCGCAGCCCAGGATGGAAGAATTGTGCCTGGGAGAGGATGAACAGTTTGGTGCACAAATCTGTCCCAGGCTGGTGGCATATTCTCGGTGGGAAGAGAGTCCCCGTCCCCAATTCCTGAGCTCTGTGTTGTGGGAAAAAATGAGATGGGAACCACAGGAGACATTTTTTGGGGTGAGGGGAGGAAACTGCAGATGGCAAACGTGTGTAGAACACATGTGCAAGAGATGTTGCTCTCCAGCCAGAAATCATCCCCTCTCCTTCCTTTCCAGCCATGTTTCCAGGTCTGTCTCTCCCACCACGACATCTCAGATACAAGCCAGGAAGAAGAGGAGAGGGGTGAGTGTCCTTTATGATAACCAGGGCAACAGTGTCCCCTGGTCAGGCTGGCCCTGTGCGCCAACTCTTGGCCCATCCTTCCTGTTAAAATCACCTTTACACTGCTCCTGCTCCACCTCCTGCAGGACTCTCCCCAAATCCGACTTTTTCCCCGGAGATTTGGCCTCGAACTTGGCAGAAAAGGGGGGGAGCCATTCCACCTGGGCTTATCCCACCAGTCCACGTTTCTTCACTCAACCTCTGCGCCCCAAAACATTCAGCCACGCAGCCCTTCCAAAGCACCTGGAGGGCTTCAGATCTGTGAGCCGTGGCTGCAAAGTGACTTGTGGTTTCTTCTGTCTGCCCGGGAATCTCCCACAGATCATCGAGAAGCGGCGCCGGGACCGCATCAACAGCAGCCTCTCGGAGCTGCGGCGCCTGGTGCCCACGGCCTTCGAGAAGCAGGTGGGTGTTTTTGGGAGCCCCCAGTGCCCCCCGTGAGACCTGCAGGGTTTGGGGTGCAGCCCCCAGGATGAGGGAGTCTGGAGCCAAGGCTATGCCTTTCTTATCCTCCTCACTCCGGGGTGTAAGTAGGTGGTGGAAACGGGGTGGTGAAATGATATTAGTAAATCTTCAGGAGCTCTGGGGAGGAGAAAATCAATATAGGAAGCGTTTTGCAGATATGAGGAAGCACAGAAATGGGGATTTTTTTCGATCTGGATCGGGAAGGAGCTCTTTTTTCTGCTCACTTGATGTAAAAAGCAGAGCCCTGGTGGATGCCCTGCGCCATTCTGAGCACTCCTGGGCTTCAGGGAGGTTTCAGGGAGGAAATCATTGACCAGACCTCGGCTCCTGAGAGGCACAAAGCCCTGGACCATAAAATGACAAATGGCTTTTCCTTTCTGCTCCCAACACAGGGCTCTTCCAAGCTGGAGAAGGCAGAAATTCTACAAATGACAGTGGATCACTTAAAAATGCTTCACGCCACAGGAGGAGCAGGTAAGAACTGCTCTTATGAGCACATGGGTGAGGTGAAGGTGCAAACCTGGAAGGAAAATTCCCCAGCAGCAGCAGCAGCAAGCTGCCTCCAGCCAGCTCTGCCTGCTTCCCAAGGGAAATACCTTTTCAGGGAACATTTTCCTTCAGATGGGTCAGCATCCCATGCATCCATCTGGGAGACTGGGGTATGTGGGGTGGCAAACCCCCAGCCCCACAGGGACAGCAGGGGTGGCACACCCCCTGCTAAAAGCTGTTTTGCCAGAGACTCATTTATTCCTGCTCAGAAATGGAGCCTGCTTCCAGAAAAACCATATTAAACTCTTTACCTCCTCCCTGGGATGCATTTCCTGCGGAGGCTGAATTCTGCATGAGGGCTCTGCAAATAAACAAGGCTTTTTTTCCTTTTCTGTCCTTTTCTTTTCTCTTCTTTTTTTTTTT